AAGAGCTTCACAGCGGTTTTCTCTCCCTGTCGCTTTAACGCTATTAATTGTTGATACGTCGCAATCCACGAGGCAGAAATTAGAGGGCTAATTATTTGATCATGTGATACTGCCCCACTGCAGTGACAGAAAAGTAATTTCCCGGGCCTTGAAACTGATCTCGCTTGATCGTTAGATGACAGATTTGTTTTATAATTCGATAAAAGCGGGGCATAAACAAGCGATGAGCCGATAAAGAGCCTCTCTCGCACACTCGGAGGGAGTAATTGTTTTTAAATAATTAATACGGATTCCTGAGGGGGATTCAAAGAGCAGGATCTTTTTGTTGTCGTTCGCTTGTGTGCAGCCGGACTTCAGCTCTCGCAGGCTTTCACTGATTTAAAAGCCTCGCACACTTTATTTGCCAGGTGTTCAGATGCGAGCAAGCCACAGGGGGACTTTTACAGTGCACACTAGAGGTTCAACAACACAGTGTGCACTAGACAGAAATGACTGTTCACTGTGTTGCATCGCTTTATGCCACTGCATGCATTAAATAATTAGCCTGCACATATAAAGTGATGGAGTTAGACTCCCCTCACGCACATAAGTCTATTACTGCAGATTATTTTTATTATTTAATACACTTAGAAGTCATGAGAGTCGTGCACAGTCAACTGCAAACTACTGTATTAATGTGCTTGAGTAACACAGCTCCTCTATTCTGTCTAAAAATGTGCCAGCCACCAATATTTAGAGACTGTAATGAGTTCCACGTTTTCGTGTTTCCAGGAAATGTTTGTTTTGAATGCATCTAATGGAGATTTGTATACTGCCCATTTGCCTCCGCATTGATTCAGTGTCTCTGTTCGGTATGTGGTGGGCACTGATGACTCTACCCCATGCTGTTTGTGTTATCAAACTGCCGAGATGCTCTTGGCTCTGATTTATAACACTACCTCAAATAATCTTGTTAATGCACATTTAACATTGCGGAAGTGGCAAGCACATAGACTAAACAACACCTACGCGTGCGAGCAGTCAGAATAGTGCTGGTGAAATGTGCCGAGTGATAAACTGCCTCCAGTGCAGCTAAAAAGAGGAAGACCGTACTGTCTTGTTGTCATAGGGATTTTTAACTTTGGATGTACACTTACACATATTGTGCCACTATTCCGGGGGAAACCGGATGATCTTGAAAAAAGGCTAAATAAGCAATGCAACATCCTAGGATGCTGTAAAATAGAAACAAAATGTGTTAAAATCCTCTTTGTTGTAAGTATTAGAAGTGTTGAAGAAATTATTCAATATTTTTTTTAATTCACTTTTGTATTTTTAAATTTTTTTTAGAATTATGAATTAATTTAAAAAAATTCAAATGTAGTCAAAATTCAAAACATTTTGTTAATGCAAGTTATTTGATTTAAATATGACCAAATTTTTAATGTCAATATAAATTGACATCAAATGATCAGATATTCTAGGATAAACAGTATGTTCATGGAAAAAGGCAAAATAAACAATACAAATGTAAATGAAATAAAAATAAAGGGTTACATTTGAGTTTTTGCAATACATTTTTTGTTTTTTACATTTTTTGCAGTTTTTTTTTAATTAATGAAAAAAAATCTAATGTAGTCAAAATTAAAATTGGATTTTGTTAACTGCTTCTTTTTCTTTCTTTCTTTTTTTCCCAAAAAAGAAGCCTGTGATTTAAATATGACCAAATATTTCATCTGACATCAGTATAAACTGACATCAAATTAAGCTTGTCTCTCAAATTTGGATTCCCAAAAATTCTTAGATAATATATTTTATTTATATTAGTATGGCTAAATAAAAGTGTCACCAATGTTTCACCAATAAAAGTGTCAGATGAGGCAGTACAGTACATATTTACAGTGTTTGTTTGTGCATTGCTTTTGTTTGTGCATTGTACGTTTGTGTATTTGTTTTTTTATTATTTATTTTTTTTAAAGCACTAGCATATTAGTATTCATTATTGTTTGCTCTGAGCGTGCTACAAATATTGGCATTTTCAACTCTTCAATTGTGTTTACCCTTCTTTAAATGGGCGAGAGCTGAATTATAACCACAGTTGATCGAATCATTTCTGCTCTGTGAATCTGCATGCCCTTCTGTATGTCAGAGTTGGTGTTGTTGGGCGGTGCGTATGTGTGTGTGTGTGTGTGCCAGGGCTCTTGGCAGTGTCTGCACCTGTTGGCAGCATCAGGACCCTCCTGGCAAGGCCGGCAGAAATTGTGTGATGCTCTAGTACGAGTGCAGAGGGGGCTGCAGCCACAGCACGTCAACATGGCGGCCACGCTCCGCTTACCACTGCTACTGGCCCGCGTTTCCATTTTACTGTGGAAATAAGAGTGGACCGATGCAACTACACAATCCGTTTGTGATTTTGAAATTGACATTTAGAGCCAATGATGGATTTTGGGAGCAGAAATGCACCAGATAAAACTGTGCTATGTCATATTATTTACTATGAGTGACAATTTGAAGGGTCAGATCTGATTGAAATAGTTTTAGCTACATATTTGTACATTTTGCACTGAAATACTGAATGGGTCTTGTGTAAAAGAGCCATTGTTTTTTATATAAAGTTAGCTATATTAGTTTTGGCCTAATCTAGAGCATCGCTGTAGCTGCTGCGCCACCTAATGTGTTGCACATGGACTAACATCTCAAGACAGCAAAAACAAGCTCAGTGCAAATTCACATCAACGCCGGAAACGTGTTTAGCGTCGTGCGAATGCCATATCACATATGTTGCATTCATATGTGACATTAAAAAAAACCCCGATCATTTACCCGTGTTGAATCGATGAACGTATTTCGCGACCCCTTATAATGCATCCACCTTTTTTGGTCATCGCTTTTTTTTCTTACATTTCCTGTTTTTAACAGCAGTGATACTTAGTGTTCTAGTTCAGCACCTCTGCTGATTTCATATAGCTTTATCACCTTCAGTTTCATGTCTACACATGTTACACACTCCTGGTTTTAAAAACACATTTTACTGTCTTCACTATAATTAATTATTGGGCCCATTAGTCATTATAATTGTTGATTCTGACATGTGCATGTGCTTAGTTACCTTTAAAACTCATCTTCTTTTTTAGAATAAATAAACAATATATTTCACTCTCACTTGGCATTATAATAACATACAGTAGCAGAAACAAAGCATCCAGGTTCTTAGACTTTTGTGTGTATATATATATATATATATATATATATATATATATATATGTGTGTATATATGTGTATGTATGTGTGTGTGTGTGTGTGTGTGTGTGTGTATGTATGTATTAATTTATTACTGCTATACTTATTATTTATATATTCAATATAATGTTGAAATCATAAACACATTATGTTAGTAAATACAGATCTTTGAAAGTCATTTTAACCAGCCAGGATGTGGTGTTACTTCCAAACCATGAGTGATTAAATTTGACCCTTGCACATATTTCTTCATGCCTGTTGTCTGTATATGTCATTGTGTTTTTATTTATGATAATATACATTCCAGTGTAGATAACATATAATGCCTCTGTAATAATTATTTTCTTTTATTGCAGTGGGCATCTTTTTAAAATCAAATAAGGCTGGGAATGATTTAATTCCTGTGTTGATGTCAAAATAATTAAGAGTTTTAGTTTAATAATTCATTCATCAAATGCCTCAAAAGTCTTTGTTTTATTGATACTATTTTATAAAATGCATGTTTTTATTTTTACTGCATTTTCTCATATATAATCACTCTGTAAACATTTTTTTTAACTAGTGTGCATTAATATATTCTTCTATCATATTTGCATAAATTAGATCTATCTATGTGTATGTGTGTGTGTGTGTGTGTGTGTGTGTGTGTGTGTTCAGGGTTGCTCGTTTGCTGTCACCTGCACATATGTGTGTGTGTCATGCACCAGCATCACTGACAGATGGCGTGTCCTTTTTCTATAAGAAATATTGTACTCTTGAGGCTCTTTTGCAACTTAAAAAAAAAAAAAAAACCCGCTATAATATCATACTCGATA